TAGGAAATTAATCTTCTCGTGTCAACTGCAGGAATGTGGCGAATGAATGCAAACAAATATAAATAAATTTAACAGAAGACAGTAGAACAATTTTTTCCTGACTTCTGGACTGTCAAAATAACATCGACTTAATAGGTTAGGTTAGGTTAGGTTAGTTTAGGTTAGGTTAATTTAGGTTAGGTTAGTTTAGGTTAGGTTAGGTTATTTTAGGTTAGGTTAGGTTAGGTTTTCTGGCAGTTTCCTAACACCATTTGCGATGTATTCAATTATCCTAAAAACAGGCAAGACGGAACAACGCATACCTACCTCCTACGGTAAATGAGGCCAGAACTTTAAGCTGGGTACAAGATCTATAAAGCATGGACCTTCATCTCTACGTCGAGCCCGGCTCTGGGACCCACCCAGCGCCCTCAATGGGTACCGGGGTCCTTTCCGTAGTGTAAGCTCGGCCGAGGCGTGACGCTAACAACGCACCCCTATCTAGAGCCGATGTTAAAAATTAGTAGGAGCTATACTGCCACTCTCCCCAAGCGCCTACATGGCGTATAGTGGGACAGCTTTACCTCAAAGAAAAGAACACGTTTCCATGACAACGGTAATTTTTTAAAATGCTAGTTATCGCTGCTTACTCTTAAAATCATAAAAAACCACCCATTAGGTCACTTCGTGGGCAAATTGCAGTTACTTGTGGTTAATGCAGGTGGTTATTATATTTACCACTTGTTGAAATTAAAGTATTATGACGTCCTTAATCAAGGATATAACCAATTTTAACAATATTTTAATATAAATTTAATAACCCACTACGAAATACCTGAAATGATGACCTTACGAAATGGGTTTGAATTTTAATACCTGTCTGGACAGAGGACAGCTGGGATTTGCCCCAGAAAGCGAGGAGGACACAGTCGGAGTGATGGCGGCTAACAGCCCTCTACAGACCTGGGGCCCTCCCCGCTAACATTGGACCGTTCTCAACTTCAGAGTTGAACTATGAGGAGCTTCAACCACGCGGTGCTTCACGAGTGCCGCTCAAACAAAAATGCCCTGCTTTGTGCATGCTACGCGCAGAACTGGCATAAGGCACACCGGGACCGGCGAAAATTAATTACTAACGAATGATTCACTGTTAAGTTATTGAACGACGATGTTTCAAATACCACCGCTGCATAGAATAGGATGCGATGAATGACGACTGCACTTGTCACAAAAGAATCTTAAATTCTTTCATTCGTTCTCCTCGGAGTTAACTTCAAATATAACTACAGGCTTGATTCTTGCCTGAGACGAATCCTGAGGAAAACATTCACGTGTCTGATGTTACACGGCGCACAAAATCAGAGTTCTCGTTCTTATGTAAAAAGTAAAGTAAAGTTTGTCCCACTATACGCCATGTAGGCGCTTGGGGGGAGTGGAGTTATAGCTCCTCTCTTCCTTGACCTGGGCACTAGATGGGAGTGAGTGGTCAGCATCACGCCCCGGCCGGCTTTACCCCCGGGAAAGGACCCCGGTACCCGTTGTAGAGGAGGCTGGGTGGGCCCCAGAGCAGGTCTGGACGCAGAGGCTAGAGGAAAAATCCTCTGCCCCCGTCGGGGATCGAACCCCGGCCGTCCAGCCCGTAGCTAGTCACTATACTGACTGAGCTATCCCGGCTCATTCTCGTTCTTATGTAATGTTCGGTAAAAAGGTACAAACTTGTCACCGCGCATGAAGACGTATGGTGGCGTGGAGGTTCTTAATCTCGGCAGTAGATGGAGATGCGTGGTGATCACACAAGTGTCTGTTGGTGATCGTGTGTTGTTACAGGTCTAACCGTTGTCATGGTAATTTTGGGTCTTGTGTGATAATATTTATGATAATGTGTGTCTTCTACTTCAGAGTTTCGTGTCGTTATTGACGGGCAACTCTGTAAATGGATAGAATATGAACGCAGATTCTGTCTTGTCCCTTGTGTCGCTCTCGCTGCCACACGAGGAACACGGCTCCAGGTAGCTCATCCGGTCGCCCCTCCGGAACCCGTGGTCGCAGGCAGGCAGTGACACATTCGCGTAAATAACAGGCAAGGATCTCTCGAGACCGAATCTCACGCCATTCGGTCAACAAATGATCACTACAGTTCCGTTTCCTGAAGAGAACAGCTATGCCACCGGCAGCGACCACGCCTTTCCCTTTCGTCTCAGGGAGGAAAAAAGGATTTTGTGACTTCTCTCTGCCCACCAAGGCAACATCTGGGCTTTAAAATGTGCCACGACACCTTTTAATTCCACAGTATTCCCAAATCATTGCGTCCAGGTGTCCTCTGTAGTTAAGAAACCGTCATTAAGGCTTTGACCGGGATGTTCTTTTGTTAAATCTTATGTGGTACCGCCTGATTCGACTTATAATGGTTAAGTGAAGTGTTTTCTTCGCGGTACGGTCTGGATTCGTAAATATTATGAAGACGAGCTTCGGCTTCAAAGGGTTAACCAGCTGATTTTCGTCATGGTGAGGTGAAGTGTTTTCTTCGCGGTACGGACTGAATTCATAAATAATATTCAGACGATCTTCGGCTTCAAATCAAAGACACGAGGAAACAGTCGAATGCCTGCAGGTTTCCATTTTTATCTCTAAAAAAAGGTTAAAGTGATCCTCTGTAAAAAGTCCTAACCTGCCTGAGCTGCAAGAAATGCTCTGAGCATTAGAAATGACGCGTGTTAAGCGAAAAGAAGATGACACCAAACGCGAATTTTAGGATCCTCAACAAACGTTGTCTCAGTCAGGCCCTTTCACAGGCAGGTTCCTCTATCTGACACACTGTTGACTCTGTAGACAGGCAGTTCAGTCTCCCATCCACTGCGAGGGAGCCAGGAACACCTCTGCGTCCTCTAAGGGTGGAAACTTCCTGCAGAAATATCTCGTACCTGACCGTAACTTTTGTCACAACCGACTAAGCGGCCGACAGAGTGTTTTCGAGCGTTACAGTCGTTCAAGTTGTCAACGGCTTGCCGCCCCCGCCCCCAGGAAAAGAATGATAATTGCTTTTATTAGTAGCATGAAAAGATACCAACGTTGTCTTTATATTCAGGCCCCTAATAGATTTACTAATGTTTAAAAATTATTTTTATTTAGTGTTCTGTCTGACGACAGGTCCATATGAACAGGATCCTTCCATCCTTTTCTCGGACTGGGACCTGTTCATATACGTTCTTGGCAGATGATCCAGAAGTGGTTTGCCATTGCCTTCTTCTGTGTGTGAATGGAGGAATTGTTGGGATGCCACGGAGGAAAACTCCGTGTTGCCTAGACCACGGCCTTGCCCAACACAAGTTATAAATTCGGGCACCGCCGGGAATCGAACCTGAGACCCCAGGATTACAAGGCCAGCGTTCTAACCGCTAGACCACCGTGGCGTCTATTTAAAAATACGATACCCAAAAACCGTCTCGCCTATTTCAAATTAGGGAGAATCTAAATTCAAATATCGGTCCTGACACCGGCTATCTTGAGATTTCTCAGAGTTATCCTCATTCCCTTCAAGCCAGTTCCTTTAATGTACTCCCCAATTCATTATTCATTAGGCAGGATCTACACCGAATCAACTAGCGACAAGCGACAGGCGATATCATATAGAATCAACTAGCGACAAGCGACAGGCGACAGGCGACAGGCGATATCATATCGCTCGTAGATTCACACCGAAGCTATAAAACTGGGTTTGTAAAAATTTCGGTGAATGAAATGATCATTGCACACTGCGTATTCTTTAATTTGCAGAAACTTAAGAGTTCGTTGTTCTTCAATGGCTCATCGGATGAAGCTACAAGGCACAACACGGAGTCCCTGTCCATATCGATAATTTTAAAATCGATTCAACGCAGTTTCGGTGTGAACGCTTCGCATCGTAATACACAGGGTTTCTACAGGCGGCGTCCACCGCGTATCGCTTAGACAAAGAAACAACTGAAGTTTGTAGCCCGTATTTAATGCGAAGGACATGGATCCAACGGAAAATCTCATCTTTTAGCTCTAACTTCGAATGATCCGAGATTGTGCAGGCTGTGGTAACAGGGCGATAAATTAGGGGCGTTTAATTAGAGTATTCTTATAAATCACGTCTCACAGATTGGGTACTTTATCTACTATAGAGTTATATTTAATTAAAACGAATAACTTCAGGAAGACAATTAGATATACTCTTATTGAGGTGTTCTCTAACAAAAGTTTCCCCCGTCCCTTCCACATTATTTCTTATCATTCGAATGGATATTAAATAAAAGTAAAATAATTTATTTTGCAGAAATCGAAAAGACGCATAATTCATATTCAGAAACGTTCAATATTCCACAAACGTAATTATGAAACATTTGTCAGGCACCAACAGGTATTTAAAAAATTAAAGGAAATAGAACATAAGTAATTAAATAAATTCCGCGCAATGGTATTCTGCAGTTAAGAGATTAGCCTTTCTGAGGTATGAGGAAATCGAAGGGGGACACACACACCAGCACAGTGTGGTAGAGATCAAATATCAATGGACGGCACAGCCGCTGGAACGTTTTCGCATTTATTCATTCGTGAATTAAAATGCAAATCCAAGTATTATGCGAGCAATATCATGCTTCGTGCATTTTTAAAATTCCCTTGGTACGCAGTTTGGAGTTATTTCACAAGCGAAATTTATAGCACAAATCGTGTTTTAAGTTCATATATTTTGCGTGATGATTCCTAGGATATTCAACGACTCTGTTTCATATACATAAGATGGAGGCCTATATAACGAAGACAATTATAAACGGTGAGAAAGAATTTTGAAGAAGAAAATCATGGACTACGTGAAGACATAACTATGACATCGGCCAGACTGAACATACAGCGTAAAACCACGAGAACTTGTAATCTGGATTATCCAGAATGTGGACTGGATTCATATAGCTCAGGATAGGATCCATTATCGGGATGATGGTTTCTTGACCAGATAAGAGACTGTTGGTTTGTAGGAGTGCAAGAGGCAGGCGACTCACCGACTGTGGTGAGCAGCATGTTGTCTAGCAGAAGAGCGATGGCGACGATCACCAGTACCAGGCGTCGCGACTCCCTGCATCGCTGCAGGTAGTCGGAGAACCGCGAGGCGCCCACTGAGCTGCAGTCCTGCACCACAGTCATGCTGCCTGTAACAGTGACAGCTCATCACACACTTATACATTGCATTGGCGTCTCGTCAGAAACGTATACATTTGCATTGGCGTCTCGTCAGAAACGTACACATTTGCATTGACAACTCGTCAGAAACGTATACATTTGCATTGGCGTCTCGTCAGAAACGTAACACCTTCATGAATACCATAATCCACATTGTGAGAACCTCAAAATCTAAAAAGAGTTGTTATTCAGTTTGATTGTCTTTATACATGGTCTCTTTCCTAACATTATAGCAACATAACTTCATTTTAAGTGTACAATAGTCCCTACTATAGATTAATTATAAGTTAAATAGACAATAGCTGGCTGGCACTGGGACGTAATTACTATATATAACACTGTGCCTGTGGATATTAGTTTCGATCGAAAGACATACGAACGAAATTTGTAATGCAGCTCGTTTGTAAATTGGAAGGTTCTTACACGTCACAATATTGAGTATAGAAAAGGAACATACGCGAGCATAAAACTTTTTAAAGTAATTCTTTGCGGCCCATTAAGAAGTACGGGTCAATCATATACAGAATGGCCCTGACTTGTTTGAAGAACTGTAGGCATCTTCGTTCACAGCCCAAGCTAGTGTGGCTGAAATGTTGGTGGAGTTAACTTTTGCGGTTCACGATTATACATAAACGACGAACCAATCCGGGACGCGAGAAAACAGAAGGGAAATCTTCGGATAACTTTGTTTATGTCAGCTTCACAATTTTTAATATTAATTACGATCAAGTTTTAATTACTCCAGGAGTTCAGCAGAAGGAAGGAGATAGAGTCGCTTAAAAAGCAATTTAATTCTCATCCCTTTCTAATTATACAGCCACTAACATCTACCAGGATTATAAAAATTCATCCACGAAGATAATGAAAACGTTCAGAAGTTGGTATCACTTCATGGTTACTATTCATTACAGCACTAAACCGTCCTAATTAGCTTCGTCGCCTTATTTACTTTGCGGCGTGCCAAGAAAACATGCTGACAGAAGGGACAGTTCTGCCAACTTACATTCATGCAATTAACTTACTTTAAGATCGAAGGATTACATATATTCACGGGGCCACAATCCAAAGAGAAATTTCTTCTCTACCAGTAAAAAAGAGCCATAAATGTAACATACAAAATTAAAAACGGACCTCAAATCTATTCTGAATATTTATTTATTTATTATTTATTTAGTGTTCTGTCTGACGACAGGTCCATATGAACAGGATCCTTCCATCTTTTTCTCGGACTGGGACCTGTTCATATACTTTCTTGGCAGATGATCCAGAAGTGGTTTGCCCTTGCCTTCTTCTGTGTGTGAATGGAGTAATTGTTGGGATGCCACGGAGGAAAACTCCGTGTTGCCTAGACCACGGCCTTGCCCAACACAAGTTATAAATTCGGGCACCGCCGGGAATCGAACCCGAGACCCCCAGGATTACAACAATCTAAGATTAGAAGCTTTCACGACGACTGAATGCAATGAAGTATTCTCCGGCATTCAACCGTGTCAGTATAGAGTCATAGTTCGACTTACGGACACTGCCTTCACCTCTATCGTCAGGGTTGACTCATCGCCCGAGGGTCCCATTGCGAAGACGCTTAATATATAAAGATTTCCTTTTATTCACAGTTTGTGTTCCTACAAGCCAGTAACATAGAATTGATGATGACTAATTCTTTGTTTATTACCGACGTTTTCCCTCCCGCCTGTATCGGATGATAAACGAAAGATTACTATAAATTACGTAAAATGATACGTTCATCGACTTTCGAGGTATTTTTGTAGCAAATCTAAAACTTCTTGACGATGGTGAAGAGTCAATTGAATAAAAATTTACTTGGATATTATCCATCGTCTAGTAATAAAACGTAAAAAACGTAAAACGACGTTTCGGAGATGGGACTCTCCGGTCCGGAGATAGGGATTAGCTCTATCTAGTGGGCCCAACTGAGTAGGAACCTGAAGACGGAGATAGAGCCCCATCTCCGAAACGTCGTTTTACGTTTTTTACGTTTTATTACTAGACGATGGATAATATCCAAGTA